AAAAAAAAAAAAAAAAAAAAAATAAAAAAAAAAAATAAAAACATCCCTAGGAGAGCTGGCTTGCTGTTTCCTCATTGCTGGTTTCAAACACTGGACAAGCCCAGTGGTCAAACATCCTTCTCCCTTCTCCCACCCCCATGGCACGATCGTACACACAATACACACACTATCAAGAATGGTCTCCTCCCTTCCCCCGAATCCACCCAAAAAAATAACCGCACATAACCCCCAGACACAATCACAGTCCACAGACATACCCTCACACACAAAGCTACTCCATTCTAATTTACATAAAAAGGTCAAAGGCAATACCATCACCAGCATGGCACCATCATCTGCAAGAGCAATAACTGCGCACCACCACTTCCTACATTTTCACCCACTACAGAGCTCATCTGGCACAATCTCACATCAGTACAACCCTGGGAACCACTAGTAAGCCATCAAGGCTGGCATATTGGTGTCCAACACATATTGGAGATTGACGCGCCAATAGCCCATTGTCATGAAATTGGTCCCTGGTTTATAATTTGTCGAGAGAAGCAAACATAGAAAGATATTTCTCGTCATCTTGTATAGGCACATGGGCAGAAACAAAGCAGAGTTTGTCCATAAAATCTTTTAACTATTTCTCCTATGAAAATTCCTTTTCATGTTACGACGTCTAATGTAAGAATCTATGGGTCATGTATGGGAATGGGGGCTTTGCATGCACAGAAGAAGATGGATTATATAGTGCATCAAAGTTCAGGTTCGGATTAGAAGAGCTCCAACTAGCATCCATATTTGAAATGAGAAGCTAAAACCCTTTAATGTGTCAATACAAAAAACATAAATATAACAAATAGCAAACTATCACATGTTGAAATGAATTTGAAATTTTATTTTGATTACCTTTTGAATGTAGAAAAATTTCGATACAGATTAACATCAAATTTATCATCTTTTTGTATAATTGGTGCATTCTTAATCAGAGATTTTGCGTTTTGTAATTCTTGATCTACTGCTGAAGGCCATCTTGGTTTCTGTTAAAAGATAAAATGAAAAGAAGACACAAAAAGAAAAGAAAAAGATAGGATCAGATTTTGCTTTCTATAACACATAGTTCTAGAGGAAATTAATACTTGAATCCATACATACCATCGCATGATAGGATGTGCGACTCTGAAGCAACATATCATTCATGTCATTTATTGGCACTACTGCATCTGGCGGTTTCTTGACCCATCTTTTAGCAGGAGTGCTGCTGATAGAAGAATTGCTCATTGTAGTGGAACGGTCATCCTTCAGTAATCCGGGTTTTTCTTTATTTCGAAGCATATTTTCAGCATCTTTGCCCGTAGAAGATTTATTCAAAGAGCGAGGCATCGTGGAAGTAGTCGAATTAGCACCCATGTTTTCTGAAGAAACAAAGCGAGATGGTGATAAAACAGATGGAGTAGCCTGATTGGTGTCTCCATTTTTCCCCAATGTTCGAGTTGAAACAATTTCTCCATCGTCCAAATTATAGTCCAATGAAGAATTACTTTCAGAAGTATAATTTGATGCTGGTAAGTCATTGCTGTTATTACTTACCACACTCTGAACTGTCGAGCTACTGTTCATTTCCAAGAAGTCCTTGGATGGAATTTCATCTTCAGGATCATTATCAACATCAAAATTTTCTTCAGAACTTTTGTTGCTTTCAGACTCAAATGTATCTTTAACATTACTATCATTCCCGTCAAATAACTTTGTAACATTGGATACCGCATGCACATCATTCACATTGGTCGAATTCAAGTTACTAGAATACATCGAATTTCTTGAAGCATTGGGATTACTAGATGAATCCCCAGTTGAAAAGATTTCAGCTGGTGCCACTTGAGGTCTATGGCCAGAAAATAGAGTTGATACAATGTTGCCATATGGAAGCTCAACATACTGAATGAACAAAAACACGGCAAATATCACTCCCATCACCAATAGCAATCTCCTAGTCTCCAATAAGCACACACGGCGTAATTCATAGCCCATAATGACCTCCAAGATCAATACAATAACTACAACGTGCCTAGAAATTTCTGCAGCAAATTGTATGCATTGATTTCCATAAATGCAATTTACTTCATTCCAGTTCAAAGTATCTCCTTATATAAAAGAAAATCATCATTTATTCACAGTTAAAAACAATAAATAAACAATTCGAGTACATAAAACAATTTCACTGATTAAAAGATTGCAAGAATAAGCATTATATGCCTAAGGGCAGGTTTAGAACAATTTAAATGCTTCATCCAAACAAAATTATACAGAGATGAAAAACACAAATCTCAAATGTTCAAACACCTAGAGTCAAATATCTAACCATCCAAACAAGATAAGATTTTCATACTTATGTCGGAAATATGCAATTTGTAGACATTAAACACATCAAAATTGCAAATCACTTTCCCTTTCTACTACATTTCTCAGCATATAACATTCCTAAATATAAAAAGCATTTTGATAGTGTAATCTCAAACTATAAAGCCATATAGAACGAATGAACAAGAAAACCTTTCTTGAACCTTGATTTCACTAATAAACTAACTCAAGAATCAGAGCAGTTCTTAAATAAGCAGAAAGTAAAATTCAAGAAACCCAGATCACGAAAACCCCAGAAAACCCATAAAACCCCACGACTCAATTGACATAAACCCAAACAGCGATCAGCAGGATAAAAACAAGCAATAACAATACGTTTCGATAAATTACCAGCTCTTGAAATAATGAGAAAAACTGCTCCAGCTTCAAATTCGGGCCAAGTTCAATTGCTCTTGAAACAAAATAAATGAAGTGAAAGAACAGAACAAAGATATTGTTTGCATCTTTTGAATCAACTAACACGCCAACCGGTAAAAAGAAGCTTGCTTTATTTACCTTTAGTTTGAACTTTGAACTAAAACTGAGAATTAAATGGAAACGCGCAGATGATAATTCTATAACTTGTTCGATATTGACAAATTAAATCCTGAAATAATTGGATTCGTGCGGGGTTTTTCTTTGACTTTTCTATTGCAGTGAATTGTGGCATTTGCATTCTACTGATTCTGATTATAACGAGGTGGGAAGGGACAGCGGTGATTGACTAATTTCTAGCAAAAAGTTGGTCATTATTACTATTAGAAAAAATCACACAATTGGTCCCCAATTATCTCCGACTCTCACGTAAATATATACTACTACAAGTTTTGAGTACCAACACAAGTTTAGAAATAAAACCTAAGACCTTGTTCGAGTCACGTTATTTTCATAATAATGGATTTTTGAATAGTGTATTGATGGAAGATGTGTGCTTAAAAAATAAAGAAAAATTTTAAATTTACGCATAATATTATTTTATCGAAAAATGTATTGTTGAAATAATGTCAAATCATTATTTAAAAATGTATTTTTTGAATTGAATGTGGCTCAAATGGAGCCTAAATGTATAAAGTTGGATACAGTAAATATATGACCTATCTGATAAAGATTTGAGCGATAGATCCCTAGGAAACTTGAAATTTTTCTTTGTGGGTTGCATTGTTTCTCTTGTGTATCATGAAAAAATTAAAAAAAATTGCTTTATGACTTGAAGTTTCAAAAGAATGTGAATTTTTCTTCATGGGGTTGCTTTTTTCCTTGTCTTTCATGCGATATATATTTTTTTTAATGACATGAAATTTCAAAGGATACGTACAAGTTCAATAAAGAATAAAGTTTTGGTGTTAAGAATAAGAACTATAGAAAGGGATAATAATTTGTCTTACCTTTTTTGTCTAAGAAATAAAAGAGAAAAGGGAAGTTGGCCCAAATGGTTCCAAATCTTCTTTTCTATTGCATTTTTAGTTCACTTGAAAGCCCTATTCCACCTATTTCAAATTGTTGGAATTTGTCCGTGATAGAGCCAGAGAGCTAGTACTAAATCAAGTAGTTGAGATAAGCTGTTTGCTCTTTGTCAGATGCCCTTAAGAGCATCTCAACCGGGAGTGGAAATTGGTACTAGAAATGGATGGGATTCCGCAAGTCTGGGGAACACCTCGAAAGTGGACTTAGAATTTCGTCTCATTGGGCTTAGTATAAGCATTTGATTGTTCTAGCAGAAACCATCAACTCCATTCTTCAGAAAAGCACGTAGATCTTTTCGGTTACGATAAATATCGTTACTCTAAATAGCTTGGAGGTCAGGCGCAGACATGATTAGCAGAGGTTATGGAATCTGACCCAGCCACAACTCCAGCAAGAGTAGGCTTTGAAGGAGGATAGAGTTTTTAGCCGATTTATTAATTCAAGGGTGTGGTTTACATATTCATAAATAGAGGATATTCCTGCTTTGAGTGTGTGGAATCTAAAGGAGATGGTAGCCAATACATTGGCCTATGCGACCACATAAGCCAAAAGGCTACGTAGTAGCATGACCTAAGGCAGAAAAATTCCGAGCATTGGTCTATTGAACCATGCTACCGCATGGTGTTGAACCGTTCGATCGTATGGTTGTATTTTATGACCGTTAAGAGATTGTTTTCGGTTTAATTTGTGGCGCCTTTTGGAATGTTTTTGCAACCTTTCAACATGGTTTTTGTCACCAATTCGTGGCATTGATTGAGACCTATAAATAGGCCATGGATGATCAATGAAAAATATAGAAAAAAACAAATGATAAAACATTCTTTCATTCCACAAAGAAAGTAGAATACTTTTCTTCATCCAAATTCAAAATTCCTCTAGTGTTCATCAAGTTTTGGAGAATCATGCATGTGTTTAAGCATTCGATTCTCTACAAGGTTTGATATAATTCTACAAACCGTTTGCCGCGAGACTCTTTAAGCACCAAAATCATATCCGAGAGGGGGCAAATATAGTTTGAGGACAGCAATTCGTATATGTTTTGTTCTTCATCTTCTTGATCACATTTTTGGATTGTTTCTTCTCCAATCCTGGTAGCGTAAATTTCCCAACAATCTCAAACTATGTTTTGTTGTGGAGAACGAAATCACTTTGGTGAGATCAAGTTAATGAAATCTAGATCCTGGTTGGAATATTTGATGGGTGAACTTCTTGTGAAGGCTAGTACAAATTGAGGTTTCTGTTGATAGAATTGACAATCTCATACATTCTAATTCTGGATTTGGCGATGCTATCGAAATCAACATTTCTTTGGCGAAAGAAATCTGGAAAAATTGAAAAGAAATGATTTCATTGAGGAATAAAAGGATATAATCCATCATCATGAATTCAATTCCAGTAATATTTATTTATCTTTTAAAATTACATTTTGGTAAGTCGATATAATGATCTTCTCACATGTAATTTAGATGTTTTGTGAAAATATATGCACGTCATCAATGATGATATCCCCAGTGAATTTAATTCTAGTTGTGCATAATTTGTTGCATGTGTTTGTGAAAGTGGAAATATGGAAATCATGATGTTGCATGAAAATTAAAATTACATATTCATTTGTAAGGTATGTTTTACAAACATTTGATGAATTTGAATATGAATTTTTCATGATCATCTAGAATTTCCTATTAGATGAAAGATATGAATATTGTGTCCATGATTATGAATTGCATAGTTATATAAGGATAAATCTACATGTATATAATTTTTTGTACATAAAGGTGTCCTCCACTCACATAGGGTGGGATCCACCATAATAAAATATTCGAGTGGACCCCACCCTATGTGAGTGGAGAACACCTTTATGTACAAAAAATTATGTACATCAAGCAAGACTCGTTATATAAATAACTTGTCTGATATATTTGATGGATTAAAGTATGTATGATCCTTAGAGTATGTTTTATTTATGGAATTTGGTCTTATATACAATTTATTGTGATAATAGAGGCTAATAAAATATTATTATGTGTTGGTTTGGTATCAACATAAATTTTTTGAAAGAATTATGTGATTATGTCCAAGTTGAAATCTTTATTTCTTAAGCTTCTCATTTGTGAGAAATGTGTAAAATATTATGAGATATTCTAGGATCAATTTATTGAATATTATGACATGAGAATTGATTATGTGATCTTTGATCTACTTCTCCAATTTACTACATGTTGAGTATAAAAGACATGCTGAATATTGTTATGCAATGTGGTATTCTCTTTGTGGTTTCAAGTTGAGATTGAAATCGGTTAATCAAAACCATGAAAAACGAAAATGTTTTTTGATTTTGTGAATTGTGATAAATTTATATCCATATTTTGGATCCACTTCTTTGGATATTTTGCAAAAAATCTGAAGTTAAGAATTTTGAAAGAGGGCATGTGTTATCTATCTTCATAAATTGATTTTTTTACCATAAGTTGTCTTGCCAACCGTTACATGGCCTTGCATACAAATAGATGTTTACATGAAATGGTGCATATTTAATGAATAAGTTATTGATCTGATGAAAACAATTGAACCATAAAAAAAATGCGCCCTGTGAAATTTAATGGTTTAAAGCATTGGTTCATTTGCACCTTTTGAAGTATGCATATATTACATGGATTTACCACATGAAATTATATTTTGGAAGAAAAAATTGGTGTTTCTTAAATTGTTAATCCAAAATCTTTTGATAGAACATTTTGTCATCGTGGCTGTGGGAACATGCTAAAAAAATGTATAAGAATATTTGAATCGTGAATTTATTTGATATTCACTAATTGGTGTATGCAAGTATTTACTCTATTTTGAACATGCATGAAGGAAATTTATGTTCTTTCACTTAAGGATGCATAATTTTGGCACCCATATGGTTAAATGGTTGAAATATTGATGTGCATACTACACTATTGCAATAAAATTCATGATATTGCATATGTTACATGTGGGAAAATTCTAATCTGTAAGAATTTTATGAAAGAAAGTATGTAAATATGAAAGAAACAGTGTGAACTTTCATAACCATTTCCTCTATAGAAAATGGGAAAATTACACGTGGTTACTTTCGTGTCTCTTTCCTTGTATTCAGTTATATGAATTTGCGAAAGAAATATAAACCTATCAAAAAGAAATGTAGATTGATGCATGCTATAAGTGCAATATGGGAACTGTATGGTTCATATGCGTGGAATAATAATATTATGAGAATGCCAACTAATTGTTTGATTGATTTCACGTCTTGTTGAACTCATATTAACTTGGGTTAATGTTGATAGCCTCATTTAATCTTATGGAATTAAGTGAGATGACTTTTATGTCAATTATATTTGCATAAAGTATGACAAATTGTGACTTATTCTAGTGAAAATTGCTTGCGAAATTATTAAGACATGGAAATAATTTGTAGAGCACAAACTGTGCCAAAAGTTGGCAGTGGTGCCGAATATCATTTTCATTCAAATCTGGAAAAGTTTGAATGCTGTGAATTAGTTAGTTAAATTTTCATATCTGGTTGGAAATTATACTAACTTTTGGTGATATTCTCAATGTATTCTGTGCAATTAATTGAGATGAACTTATGCTAAATTATGTTTACATATGAGTATGTCAAAATGTAATCTTGTTCGAAGTTAAATAAAGTGAACATATGCCTTATTATTTGATATGATGATATCCTGTGAAAGTGATAAGTTGTAAATGTTTGGAGGAAGTAGTACTTGGTCTTTTTTATTGATTGAATTGGACTTCAATTAAGGAACCAAATTGATTTGGTTTATGCTTAAAAAGTATTAATGGTCTATGAGATGACTTTGATCAAATTGTGTGATCAAAATTGAAGATAGTCGATTTGAAATACATTGTGACTTTATGACCACTATTTGAAAGTACTTAAAATTTTACAGGTATTATAGAAGTGATAAGTGAATTGAACTATGAAAGAGTTAAAAAACTCTAAGTTCGAGTGTAACTCGAAATGTGGAGGTTAACAATAACACTTGTGAACTTATATGAGAAGTTCAAAGATTTGTGGAGCAACAATATTAGGTTGCATATGTGTTCCTAATTGAAGAACTTTGGGGGTAACGTAGTTTAAAAAGTTACCGTATCCTTTACCTTTTAATCATAGAAATATATCTTTGAAAGGAGATAAGGTAGAGAAGCCCTTATACATATATTTATAAGGATGAAATACACTAAGCCTAAGTGGTTGAATTGGGTGAAAGCCAGTCACGACGTTTGCAAAACCAATGTGAATATTTAAGAATATTCATAAGTTGAAGATCATTGTAATATTTCAATGATGAAATCTGAATACCCAAGTATGAAATTCACAATAAAAGTGATTGACTAGTGTAATGATTTCTTGGAAATCATTCAATGGTGTTTTGAAAATTTAAAAGCTTTAAATAAAGCTAGTAAGAAGCATGTGGCTTCATCAAAGATTCCTTGTGGTGACAAGTTGTATCTATCAAATCAGTCGATAGTTGGCTAGCCATATTTTGATAGGATACTATGTCACATGAAATGACAAATAAAGACATATAAATCTTAGAGGCGACGTCACAAGGAAATTATCAAATGTGGAATAATTTTCATAGAGAACTTAGCGGATACTTTACCTAACATCTCTAAATAGAAGTTTAGAGGTGTCTACTTCGAGCAGGATGTGGTTGAAACTCCTAAACTATAAAAGGTCCACCAATGATGACAACCCTATCTCAGAAGGTAATCTACGGATTCAAAAGGTAAAAACAAGTCATTCAATATGTGGGATGGTTTCAGCATTATCAAAATTCGTGATAACCCTATCCTAATTAAAATAATGTTGGTTGTTACTGAAGTGGGGGTTTAGCATTAAAACTCTTAATAAAGTTTGGTGTTAAAACACAAGTACCTCTAAAAGTAATAAAGGTACTATAAAAACTTCACCTAAATGAACTTCGAGTAGGTGCCGCTTCAATTGAGAGTTGGAGTTTCTCTCTTAAAATTTTGTTGAATAGGATGAGCATAAAGTCATAAAATCGCTAAGCGAGTTAAGGAATTTGAGAACACGTGATACTCGTGTGTGTGTTCTAACCGGTATTGTCACATGGGATATTTAGTTCAAAGCTATAGCTACTTTTGATTCCGACTTTACTTTGTTTGAATTATACTATGGTTAGATTCAAATTGAAAGATATCTAATCCTTATACATGAGTATTGTATACATCGAATATGATACTTTATTGAATTTTGAACAAGTGGGGGATTGTTGAAATATTGTTCAAAATCGATAAAGATGTGTGTGTAGAATGAAAAGGAGATGGTAGCCAATACATTGGCCTATGCGATCACATTAGCCAAGAGGCTATGCGGTCGCATGGCCTGAGGTAGAAAAATTTCGAGCATTGGTCTGTTGAACCATTAGTCGCATGGTTGTATATTAGGATCGTTAAGAGGCCATTTTCGGTTTAATTTCTGGCCCCTTTTGGAATGTTTTTGTAGCCTTTCAACACGGAACCAATTCATGGCATTGATTGAGGCATAAATAGGCCATGGATGATCAATGAAAAATATATAAAAAAACGTATGATAAAACATTCTTTCATTCCAAAAAGAAAGTAAAATACTTTTCTTCATCCATATTCAAAATTTCCTTGGTGTTCTTCAAGTTTTGGAGAATTATGTATGTGCTTAAGCGTTCAATTCTCTATAAGGTTTGATATAATCCTATAAATCATTTGCCGCGAGACCCTTTAAACACCAAAATCATATCCGAGAGAGAGCAAATATAGTTTGAGGACAACGATTACGCGTTCAAATCTTCATATATGCTTTGTCTTCATCTTCTTCGTCTTAATCTTCTTGATCACATTTTTGGATTGTTTCTTTTCCAACCTCGGTGACGTAAATTTTCCAACATTCTATCCAGGGGCTATTAATATATATCACATTTGTAATCCCAACTTCGACAAAAATAACAACCATGTATCTATCTAATTTTTCTTATCTCGTTAATTGTCCTCAACTTTGGAGAGATTAAGAGTAAATCCCTCTTGTAAATATATTTTCATAACTACATTATTACTGTCTTTAAATAAACAATAAGCAAATAAAATACAAAAAGTAAAAAGAAAATAGTTCACCTCCTTCTCCAACTAATCCACCCAATTTACTCCCAGCAACACAACCACCATCACTACCAACCCAAACACCAGTCATAGCAAACCCTGTTAAGGGGTAAAAATCCCACATCGTTTAAATGTCGAAATATTGATCAATTTAAAATGATTTTGGGCTACTCCTCTTAAAAATATTGACCTTATTAAGATGGATCACAAGTCTTAACATGATATCAGAACTCATAAAGCTCCAATGAGCGATCCGATCAAATTATAAGTCTCAATTAATGAACAACGGATTGCAAGATTGATCCGCTCAAATGAGTCATCATCATACGGGGGCATGTTAAAAGATAAAAATTTCACATCGGTTAAATACCGAAATATTGACAAATTTAAAAAGATTACGGGCTACTCCTCTTAAAAAGATTGACCTTATTAAGAGCATGTTTGGGAGTGATTTTGAAAATTAATTTTTTGACCGTTAGGAGAAAGTTGGGATCCACCTGTGAGAGAAGAAGTCAAATATGATGGCTGGAATAGTGAAATAACTATCAAAAAATCAATTTTTTAGGTGAAAAAATAGCTCCCAAACAGGCCCTAAAATGGATCCCAAATCTTAACAAACCTCAAGGACCTGACCACATCTATTTGTCAAGTTCTTAACTTTGACCCATCTATATAGAGAAATTGCTTTGTGTAAAGATAATTTCCTTTTCTTTATATGATTGCGCACCCACAGACTTTCATACATTGAAATGTTTCGGTTTCCAAAATATTATGATTCTATTCTCTGTTTCTGTACAATACAGAAGAGCAAAAACGAAGTACCAGATTAGACAACATACATTGAATCATAAATCATTATAAATTATAATTTATGAACATATATAAATGGATCTTTCAAGAGAACTTCAATAATCTTGAGCAAGAAATAAATCAAACAAGCAGTGGAAAATTTGTTACTGGCTTAGCAAATGAGTTTACAAGTTTTGTCTACAACAACATCACCAATTGTCACGCATTTGATGAATATTGAAGCATTTGGAGCCATTATAACATCAAAATACTATATTTTGAGATTAACCACTAAAAGAAAATGCACATATAACAATAGTAGAAACAAAAAGTTTGGACGGAATGGAACTACAAATATAGAGAACAAAAAGATTACCCACTAACAATAGTATAAATGGAACTACAAATGCAATTTATGCCCTTTTGGACAGAATTTATTCAAAAAGATTTGCACCAAAAATGAAAAGGTTTGAGACAATTTGCATCACTTTTTAAAGGTTTAGACCAGAAATGCAATATGAATGGGTTCATTTGCGCCAAAGTGAACAAAGGTTTGGGATCATTTGCACCAATTTTCCAAAAAAACTTCTTATTTTGACACAGGCCAAAATATGAATGTTACATGTATAGATATTTTCTCTACATTTCCAACTCCAATTAAAATTACAAGTTATATATAGATTCATAATGGATCCAATGTTTGTTTTTCATGGTCTTATTTTTTTTATTATTTTTTTAATTGAAAATTGTAATATAATATGGAGTTTCTTCCAACTTCTTGCAATCCCTTCTCAGTATTCTTCGAAATCAATGAGTACGAGTCCTTGATCCCGTGTTTGTTTCTGCATCAAACTCATTTTAGTGGTAACTGGAAAACTCTGTTATACCACACAGAATGAAGTATCATATGAAAAATGTCATATTTCACAGGTGTGGTATGCCAAAGAAAATGCTGCCTCACCATCTTAACTCTCTTCTGCATCAATTTGTATCTCCTATCTGGAATTGACTGCAATATGTTCTTCAAATTTGGAATATCCTTCTCGAAAATGAAAACAGCGAATGAATCCCACTTCAGAATCTCGAAAAATGGAGGGACAAAATTGTCTGATATAATTACAGGAACACACTCGTTGACGATGGATTCGACCACCCTTGGACTATTGACTTCATAGCCTTTGGCACAAATGCAATATTTGCTGTTTTTCATGTGCCATATGTAGTTAGCATTTTTCATTCGACCAAAGATCTTCATGTGGGGATCTTTGTTTTGCCAGTGTTTCAGCAGAATAGGACGAACACGTCCGTGCATTTGTCCAGCAAAAAAGGCGAGGAATTTTCTCTCTGAAGGATTTCTTCCGAATTCTTTTGTGGGATTCTGAGGTGAAATCACATTTGTTTCTGGAAGGGAAACATCTTTCCCGAAATGGAATCCTTCTTTTACATCGGCATTGCACATAGCCCTTATGCAGTTAGTCATATGTGGTTGAGTATCTGCTGGAGCCTGCAAAAAGCTTTGATTGTTATTACTTGTAAACATCTAACAAGTAAATGAATATTATCTAATAATTTTGATACAATTAACGAACCCAATCATGGCAAGCGACAAGAAAATGATCTTCCCCGTCTGTTCTGTTCCAGAAAGGGTACCGTGTCTTGATCAAGTCGAGGTAGTTTTTCAAATATTCTCGTATGTCATCAAAACTATGAGAATCAGGCACATAAACTACATCTACTAATTTTTGAGAGCTAAAAGGTAAGAAAAACAAATGGGCTTCCGTTGGATTGCTGGTTATATAATGTTGACTAGATTCCATTATCTTCATGAACCAGCCCTCTGAAGCATATATTCCCTTTAGCTTCGGCTGATGGAATACGGGTTTTTTGCCCTCCCTATAGATGTAAACCTTGAGCTTCTGCTCCATTATCTCATAGCTCCTGGATTTTTTGGGACATTCAAACAGAAACCAAGTCAAAATTAATATGGGAAGACCAGATAAAGACTGGTCTGGTTCTCATAGGATTTTTTACCTAAATATCAAACTCGTGACTTCTCAATTATTTATACCTCATTAGTATTGATACATCAAGTAGAATTTTTTTCCTCTTCACTAAGTACCATATCACATTCTTCTTCTAAATCAAGACAAAAACATGCGCAAATATATGAACGGGGTACTGCACCACGAACATACCTTGCAAATGTTGAAAGGTTCCGATAAACAGGGGCATATAAGCTAGGATGATCCCCAGTGATATTTGCATGCTCGATTTCGGATCTTGCATCTAATAATTCTTGATCAGCAGCTGAATGCCATAGTGGTTCCTGCAACAAGAACTTCTCTTATAAATTTGTATTTTATGTTTCTCATTTTTGTTTTCTTTCAAGGGGTGATGGCATATGGCTGATTTAGAAATGTTACTCTCGTGGCTTGTTTGATAAGTTGGACCATATGCTACTGGATATTATTGACGAAGAAAAGTTGGACCAATCATATCCAATACCACATATCAAACATGCCATCAATGTTCTTAATACAAGTCACTCAATGATACAACAATTTTTGTACAAAAGAATACATCAACAACACTCGTAAAAAGGAAGATGAAAATCAAAGAGAAGGCGAAACGGGTTGAAGATCCTAGAGACTTCCCTCACAGACTTGAAGAATGAATCGACTAGTTACAAGAAAGACCCATTTTATACTAAACACAGCAACCATTGATCTAGGATTTGATCTGACGGTCCAGAGCGACTAACATTTTCACTATTCAATTCAGCATGTGAAGTCGCACTTTGAACATGCGATATATCTGGCCGGATATTGGGCTTGGGTCGTGGGCCTTCTACGAAACGTTATTGGGTTGTTTTATTTATCTCGATTGACAGGCCATATCATCATTGCATAAACTTATTGGACTGGACTTGGTATCACAGCCCAACAAATGTTCTGTATGAGATCAAAGGGGTGTTTGTTTCCTATTTTTGTAAAAATGAGAATGAAAAATATAGCCGTTATGGACCCCATATAAGATATAGAAATTCAAATTTGATGGTTTGATGTTATGGATAACAATTTTATTTTTCATTTTAATGGGAAAAGAATGAGAAACAATTGGGGGTCAAATCTGGAAGTTACCTTAGAAAAGGATGAGACTCGAGTTTGGTGTAACATATCCATCATCTCTGCTATTGATACCACTGCCTTCTCGGGAGTTTCCTTCGGAGAACGACTATTTGATACAGAAGAATTATTCTCGGATGGAATATGAACAACTTGTAATGAATCGCTGGTTTTCTCATCCTGAGATGCATCGACTGCATCTTCACTAGCAGAAGGAGAAGGGGCACTTGAAGATATCACAGGAGCTATCAGATTTACATCTATGTTCTTGAAAGTAACCGAATCAGATGGTGAAACCAAGGGGGTTGGTCTATAATCAAAGCTCAAAGGACTAGCAGCAATTGTTCCAATTTCTCCAACTATTTCTCCATCAGATATTCCAAAGGACAAATTAATATCAGCTGTTGTATTCTCAGCTGAAACTCTAAATTCGAAATCCCCCACCTTTTCTGGTTTTGTACTGTTCAAATCTGTACTGTTCTTATACAAAAACACTTCTCCAAATTTATTTTCCTCATCTAACACTGATGATGATGAGTTATTTATAAGGTCGGTATGTACCCCCTCGGATCCAACAGTTCTATTGATCACTCCATTCGCACCCAGAACACTGGCCTCATTGGAGGAAAACAGAAAGGACATGGTATTTCTATAAGGTAGTTCAAAATACTGAATTATGAAAACTGAGGCAATAACCAGTCCCATTAGCCACAGGATCCTCCTGGTTTCCACTTGAAATTCATAACCCATGACTGGAAATCATGAAATCCTGCAAAACCATAGATTCAAATTCAAGAAAAACATTAATTATTTAAAAATTCAATTCCTGTCAGTCTTCAAATCCAGTTCATAGTTACCTATATTTACAAGAAACAAAAAACTGATATAGAATTATGGCATCTCTCACGTAGAACTGTTGAACACAGGATCTAACTAAAAAAAACATGTGCCATCTTTAACAACACAGACGTGGTATCGCTCATAGGCAACAGCATATGAGCGTTTATAAAGTAGTGCGTTTGATGAAAAAATGAATTCTATTTTTATGTTAATGGCATTTCAAGACAAAATTTAAATAAAATGAGGTTTCAATATTTATAAACCAGAATAATATCTATTTACTAAAGTACATTAAACAAACAATTTGTACTACTACTCCCCTCCTAGGCCATACCAGAACCTATAAAAAATCTTTGAAAAAAAATAAATTAATCCTATCTCCTTGTTCTTTAAATGCTGAACCAAAGTAATACAGAAAAAACTCAAATATTTACAGATAAGAACAAAAATTTAATACTGAATTTCGCACAAATTTTTTCAAACTTTTAAGCATATATTCTTGAAGTTTAAAAGTCGTAGCCACATTCTGAACTTCCCAACCAAAAAAAAAAAAAAAAAAAAAAAAAAAAATTATAATAAAAATAAATAAATAAATTCTGCATCAAGTAGAGAATTACCTCGATCAAGCAACTTTCATTTACTTCACCCAGAAGAAAAAAAATAAAAAATAAAAAAACAGAAAATTCTACCCTCTGTGTGTGTTATTTTTTTCCTGGGGTTTGAACAATTCATGCATAGTTGCCGTTTAATACAACCTTTTGCGGAGTTACAGGTGTTACTGTCATGTGCTCATTGCCTACAAGTTTAAGGTTTTGGTGGCGTGGCTGCTGGCTTTCTTTCCTCGAAGTGTGAAAAAGGTTAAAATTAATACTGTACTAATTCAGACAGGTAAGACATTCGTAATTGCATAGATTTTGCTTAAAGGCCACTCCCAATTAATTGATTTTTGCCATTAATTTCGGATCCTATATATGGCTATTGAAAATTAATAGATTCACTTTATTTCTATCCTAAACAATTTGGCGAGAAATAGGAAAGAAAATTTCCTAAATTGTTTTTAGTAGTTTTCTTATACTCATAACTCAAAAATGCAATCGTTTCTTGAAATAAATCCAAAGTTATATTCGAAAGATTTTACTATTATTTATTATTTTTGAAAATTGCATGGAAAGGACGAAGTTGGTGGGAGACATCTAAAATTGTGTATCTTCTCATAACC